ACAGTTTCCTCTTTTGTAAAGTGAGACTATTAATAGACTATTAATAGACAATTTTATCATAGGATATCTGTCACTGGAAAATGAAGAAGATAAAAATTACAACAGAAGGTATTCCTAGATATTTAACATGTCATCAAAAATTTTACATCCAGAGGCTAGGGAGATGGTTCAAAAATAAGACTTGAAAATAAGTTGATCTTTACAAGCATTAGAAGATTAGATCTAGTCAGGTGGTGGTGGCGCACGCCTTTAATCCCAGCACTTGGGAGGCAGAGGCAGGTGGATCTCTGTGAGTTCGAGGCCAGTCTGGTCTACAAGAAGTAGTTCCAGGACAGGCTTTAAAACTACAGCGAAACCATTTTGAAAAACAAAAAACAAAACAAAACAAAACAAAACAAAAAAAAAGAAGAAGATTAGATCTAGTTGGATATGGTGGTGCACACCTTTAATCCTAACACTTGGAAAGCAGAGGCAGGTGATCTCTGAGTCTGAGGCCAGCCTGGTCTATAGAGTAGTTCCAGACAGCCAGGGTGACACAGAGAGACTCTTTCAAAAAACCAAATCAAAACAAACCCAAACAAAACAATATAAAAAGATTAGGTCCACCATCTAATGTGTCATTATTTATCCACTTTCCTAGAAAAGAATCATCCAAAAACCAGATTTGTCAGAGAGAAAGCTCAAGCTTTTTTATTTAAATTTTTTTTTTTTGGTTTCCATTCTCCTGGACTTGTTCTGTAGACCAGGCTGGCCTTGAATGCACAGAGATCTACCTGCCTCTGCCTCCCAAATGCTAGGATTGAAGGCGTGCACCACTATGCTTAGCCTTTGTTTGACTTCTTTAAAAACATTTAAGATTACATTTATTATTTGGTGTGTGTACAGGGTTATGAGGACAGCTTTGAGTTGATTTCCTCTTTCCACCAAATGTGACTTGGGGACTGAACTCAGTTAGGCAGGCTTGGAGGCAAGTGCCTTTACCTGCTGAGCCATTGTGCCTGCCCCTTGGTTATGCTTAGGACCAGGGATCCTTTGGAATTTATTCTAACACTTAGGCTTTCCATTTGCTGTTTCATAACTAGAAATCGCTACCAATGGCTAACACAGCATGGGCCAGTTAGGCCTTGTCGTACAGACCTATAATTCCTGATGCTTGGAGGCTGGGGCAAGAGGTAAGTTAAAGGCCTGCCTGGATTATAAATAAAGATCAAGTCAAGACTAGACAGTTTAGCATTTTAAATTAATTTTATATAACCTTTTAATAGCACTATTGGCCTCTTAGAATATGAAAATTAATGCAAAACAATTTTACATTTAAGACAATAAGATTAATCAGTAAGACAATGTTTGTATATGTGTTATATATGAACGTGTGTGTGTTCATGTCTGTCTGTCTGTCTGTGTGTATATGTTTGTGTGTGGGTAGAGGGCAGAGGTCAGTGTTAGGTGTTTTCCTCTTGGCCTGCCATCTATTACTGAGATAGGATCACACTGAACTGAGAGTTCACAGACTTGCCTAGATTGGCTGGCTAGCAAGAACTAGAGATCCTCTAGACTTCTTATCAAGTGCTGGATTATGCCGTGCATCATGCCTGATGTTTTTTACATTGGTGCTGGGGATTTGAACTCAGGTATTTGTGTTTCTGTGGGAGGCGCTTTACTGAGCCATCTTCCCATCGCAAGATGGCATTCTTAATTAAGTTTAGCATATATATTTTCAACAAAAGCTCCAATTTACCGTCCTGAATAATCTTCTAGAATTGTAATTACACACACACACACACACACACACACACACACACACATGCATTCACAAGTTTACTGCCAGTGAAGGTTCTGGTTATTAGGGAACAATGAGTTATTATTGGATTAGTTGATGCCCCAGAGGTAAAGAAGAAACAGAAAAGTAACCACTTCCCTGTCCTCACTCCAACCTATCACCTTTCCCAAACATAGATCTGATGTGCCATATTCTTGCTTGAAACTATTCCACTGGGGTATTTGGAAACTGGGGATCAACAGAGCATGATGTGATTAAAATTTAAGGGTTCTAAGACCTTGGGCTAGGAAAGAAAATGTACTTTAATTTTCAGTTAATTCTGGCTCAAAGTTAGCATTTCTTCAATAATTGTAGGTAATCACTGTAGTATTAGCAGTATGTCTTTGTCACTAAAAATTTGATTTTTTTGTTTGTTTGTTTTTTTGAGACAGAGTTTCTCTGTGTAGCTTTGGAGCTTGTTCTGGAACTCGCTCTGTAGACCAGACTGGACTCGAACTCACAGAGATTTGCCTGCTTCTGCCTCCTGAATGCTGAGATTAAAGACATGTGCCACCACTGCCTGGCAAAATCTGATATTTTTACATTATATTAAAGTTATTGCAGGTATCTTAATATAATTTATACTTATTACTCCGTTGACATTATATAATTAGGCCTGTTGTGACATGCCACTTAATGCATAAAGAAGTACATCTGTAACTACACTACTTGTTTTAAGGTGTTTAAATACTTAACATTGGCTTCTTATTTCTATGTATTTTATTGTATACCCTTAAATGAATTTTCTGAGATCAGGTTGACAGACCAAACTGCCAAAGGAATCTAGATTGTAAGAGGTTAAGGGCTTTTGTCATTTATATTAATAAATTGCTTAAAGTAGATAACTTAAGTCCTGTGCCGTGGAATTCCAGGCGCCTCATAATATATTCACATTTTATCATCTTCATCTTTTTCCCACCCCTACTTCTCCTACTGTGCTGCTGCCATATCAGACAACACTCTTATCTGGAGGCAGATAGACAGGTTTTTTTTTTTTTGATTAACCCTAGTTAATACACAGCAGCCATGCTTTCTTGGGCTTCATACAGCTCTTTCCTGAGTGCCAAGTTTATTATATTTTGTTTAAAAGTTCATTTACCCAAATCTGTCATTCTAAGAGGGCTGCATTTTAAACATCTTTATATCTTGTTCTTAAATGATTAATAAATTAGCAAGACATTTAGAATTGTCAAGGCAGTGTATAGGAATGTCTCAGGGGAGTGGATAAAAATGTGGACGCTTCTTGAGCTCTAAGACTGGAGACAGCCCTGGGCGGTGGTGGCATACACCTTTAATCCCAGCACCTGGGAGGCTGCAGCAGCAGGTGGATCTCTGAGTTCAAGGCCAGCCTGGTCTACAGAGTTCTAGGACAGCCAAGGCTACACAGAGAAACTATTTAAAAAAAAATCCAAAACAAAAAACTTGGCTGTCAGGAAGAGGAATGGGCAGAAACTGAGGTGGATTTGATAAGGATTAGGGATGGGAAGCAGAACTGGTGGTGGATGCAGGGAGGATCTGAAAGTTTAAGGCCTGCCTAGGCTACAGGACAAATTCAAGGTATGCCTGCCCCTGTTACAAAAACCAAAAGCAAAAAGCAGAAAGAGGGTTGTCGATATAGTTCAGTGGCAGAGCACTGCCTAGCATGCACAGAGCCCTAGGGACAAACCTCCTGCCTCCTCCCTGCCTCCCCTGCACAGGGAACAGTGTTGACTGGAAGGCAGTAGCGACTTCTCTTCTCTCAGTTCCCAGAGCAGTTATTTAATTCTTTCAATATTCTGCTCAAGCTCCTCATCTTATCTACAGCTCTCTGTCAAAAGATCCCAACTTTAAGGTTGTGAGATCAACTCCCTTAACTTTGTTTCTGTTCCCAGTTCTCACGACTACTTCACCCTTATCACTGGTCGCCTGGGGAACTACAGTTTAGTGGTGGGGGTGAGGGGAGGGAGACACAACAGCATTAGTTTTACTAAAACAGTAGCATCCCAGGCGATGCTAATGGACAGGTTGGTGTTTCACTGTTATTCTCTGCCCTTCCTCACCCTCCTATCGCTACTTTCAGGCTCCATGTCAAACCTTCAGTCCACCCCCAGTAAGGACCGACCCAGAGCCTAAAGCTTGTCCTACTAACTGCGCTAAACTATTATTATTATTTGGTTTTTCGAGACAGGGTTTCTCTGTAGCTTTGGAGCCTGGCATGGAACTAGCTCTTGTAGACCAGGCTGGCCTCGAACTCAAGGCCTGCACCACCACTTCCCGGCTTCTATTCTGTTTTTTGAGACAAGGTTTCACTATGTATCCCTGCTAGCCTGAGACTCCCTGTGCAGACCAGGCTGGCTTGTCTTTGCTCCCAAATGCAGAGATTAAAGGCGTGTTCCACCACATCTGCCTTTTTTTAAAAACTAGCTCCGCCAAGCTTCCTATTTGGTGATCTGTTTTACTCTTTCAGGAGCTGGGATTACAGGCCAGACAATTCAGGTAACCTGTCATTTTTTAAGATAGCCTTTGTGTCTACATATGGTTCTTCATTTCCCTCACTTGTTCTGGTAAATTTTTTTTTCTCTTGTGATCACTATTTTGCTATTTACTCTGGCTGGCCTTAAATTCGCCACATAGTCTGGTTGTTTTAATCGGCGGTATATGCTAGGTATATGGCAACCCCCTTGCTTTTTAGTCTTCTAGGTCGCTGTCACACGGTTTTTTGTACTAGCCACTCTCATGGCCATGTTACTTTTCCCACTTTCTTCCCACTAGTTACGGGTTCTAATACAAGTTTTCGACAGGCCTGAAAGCTATTTGGGAAAAGTCCTCCTCTGCAATCATGGATTCCCCGTTTGTGTTCAGATCATCCTGTGTTATTTCACTGTGTTATCACTGAGAATTCTTTGTTTCCTACATCACAGCGCTTCGAAAAATTGAGATTATTTTATTTCCTTCTGATATGGTGGGGCTTACAGTACAGAAGCAACTCAGTGAACAGTCAGGAATGAATGGAAAGAAATACTTGGACTCGAGGGCGGGGACAAGTGGGGGGAGGGGCATGCGTGTGTGGAAAGGGGCGGCGCAGAGAATCCAGCCGCAGTATGGGGAAGGGGCTGGGATACGCTAGAGTCTGCGTGAACCGCAAAGCGACCCACTGTTTCCACAAACTGAGACAAACCCAAGTGGGGAGGAGGCGTCTTACCTATTCCTCAGGCCTCACCAACCCAACCAGCCTTCAGGGATCTCTGTACTGGCCGGAAAGTGAGACCTAAGGTCGCAAACTCAGAGTTTGCCTCTCCAACCTTACGACACTTCTGCCTAGAAGCAGAGAGACTCTAACGAGGTCTCAGCACGGCCGTAAAGTGAGGAAGGAAAAGGGAGGCGGGGCCAGCCGGAGGTGGAGGAAACGGGGCGTGTCCGCGCAAGCGCACGCCGCACGCTCCGGTGGCGTCACGTGCAGAGGCGGGGCCGTGCGGGGCCGTCCCGGGCTTGGC